TCCACGACCTGGCTACGAATCCTGCTAAATAGTGCATTCTAGCGAGGCCTATGTGGTCAAAATTGCAGTCCACTCTGGATGAGAAAAGGTTAAGTAAAGCTCACTACCACCTCGAGACATAGCTGTGGGAAATTTCCATTTTTCTCCTATATATTACTTTAAACAACCTCGAGTGACTACATTTTTATTCGAGAATTACTGATAGTTTCAAAACATGCTTGCACCGGAAGTCAGCTTCCAATACATACAAAAGCTGCAAAATCAGAGTCATTTGTTGTGCAATGTAGAGGAAAGATGAAAGACAGAGTATTGATGTGATGAGCAGACTTACCGTGAGGGCGTCAACTTGCTACCTAGAAGAACCGACTGATTTCTGGAAAGAAAGCAGTTTTGGCCGGGCAGGGTTTGGCCAATGCGCTGTTTCTGTTGGTCGACCAGGGAGATACGCGTCCTGGCGACTGGATGATGCTTTTTGCCAGTTGCTAGGGCTGAGCTGGGAGCAGCTACGGAAACAGTCGCAGCAGCAGCAGAGCCGCGCTGAGGCGCAGTAGATGGCCGCCAAGAGGTAGTAATAGTCAAGTTGGTGGCAGACGTAGTGGAAGCGACCGAAGTGGCTCTAGTATTGCGATGCGTCTCTTTTGGATGACCAGATTCAGCTTGTAGTATTTGCCGAGGCTGGCGACGCTGAAGCTGTCGCAGATTTTGGCGAGGATTGTGTTGGGGCTGCTGAAGCTTGTGGCTAGGCAGATGCTGTTGGAGTACACTATGGGTGAAGCCCGCCTTCGGTGTGATGGGTAGACTAGAGCGAGGCTGATATTCCTGGCATGAATTAGTCTGCACCAAATGTCTAGCCTCCAAAGTTTGAGGCCGACCCATGCCAGCCCTAGAAGTCATAACACAGTGGCCTCTGGCTCTCGTTGAGTGAAGCTTCTGATTTTCCTCCTCTTTCTCTTCAACAACATCATCTTCGCAGGCCCCTTCTTCCTGATCCTCTTCTTCCTCTTCTTGACTAGATTCCTCACTCTCCAGTCTTCGACATCGCTCTTCTTTTTCCGCCTCTTCCTCAACTTTCTCACTCAAATTCTCTTCTTCGCTATTGACAATTTCTTCGCTAAGTCGCTGGCTTTGATCACTCACATGATGCCCAGTAAGGTGGCTCTGTTTTTGCGGATGATGATGCTGCAACTCATAATTGCGGTGATGAGTATGGCCAATGTGATGATGTGGTGCCTTGGATAGGTCATAGCCAACCTGGCGAACGGCGAGATGAGGATCGGTAGAACTAGTTGGCTGGCTATGAAAAGACTGGAGTAACGGGAGTTGCATGCCAGCCGATCCTAACTTATAGTTAGACCGGGTGAGTGAATCAAGTTGGCCTGGGTAGGCTTCGACCAAATGTTGGTCATTGCCAGAGGAGTCACTACTGCCTTGAGACCCACACCTAACTTTAGCATCCATTTCATCGTCACTATTTGCTCCTCTCATTGCCCTTCCATCTCCGTCATCATTCTCATCAACAATTTTTTCCTCTCTCGGGCTCCCTGCCTCAGTCTCCCAGTCTCCATGGATGTCCAGATACACTAGACCATCCAGGTCTCCACCAGAATCGCCGTTCTGATCCAATGAACTCGGGCGAAGGTCGGAGTCAGATATCAACACTGCCTGTAAATGCATAAATGTATAATATGGAGGGGATAAATGTACAAAAAATCATGCTCTGACAATTATTTTATTGCTTATACGGTCTCATTCAGATAACTTTAAAA